ATATGTAAGTTCTGCACTGAGGAAAACACCATGCATCAAATACATTAAACAGTGCAAGTAGCCTATATCTGTATCTGTCAGCAGCATGTCTGTCAGAGCATCTATATGTTCAGAGCATCTATGCTTTAAACTATACGTGTTAATTATATGTTACAAGTTATTTTAAAGCCCTTAATATAAAGCATGTCTCATGTTTACAACCCGCTGGATTATGCACTTTCCCCACAGCAGCTCACTCTGTGTTCTCCGCTGTTTTTAAGATGCGCTCATATCAAACTACTGTGTACCGTTATAAATTGGAATTACCTCATTCCATATTGTTTATTAATATATCATACAAACTCAACATACCGCCCAGCCCTACTTAGGAAACCTTTTATTTGGAATCTTCATTATAAAGACTATATGGTCCAATTCCAGAGATATTAGGATTTCAGTGCAGCAACATTTAGTTATAATACTCCACATTTGAACTCTTGGTAGCTTCAGAAGCTGTTAAAATGAACAAAATCTCCTCTCACAATCATCACTGAAATTAATTCAAATATAGAGTCTTATGAGCAGACTACTGAGAGCAAGTGATGTGCCTCAGCTTGACCATGTCAGTGTATTTTTGGCACTCAGACATGTATGCTCAATGCAATTGTCTTGATAGAGGGAATCAAACTACATTTCTAGTCAACATTATTTATTCTTAAGACAGACCCCTTTAAATAAGTATCACTTGTATGCAAAGTCACCCCACACTTGGTTTTCAACCATTAAATATGGGTACAATTCAACAATTTGGGCGTGAAGCCGCACTGAGATCCCCATTTCTGTGGGACTGAACTACTGTATATAGGTCCTTGAAAATGAAGATTTCAAAAGAAAAGTTTGTTAAGAATGAGAACCTAAAATCATATTGAGATATCTTTAACACTTCTAGAATTACAGGCTTGCAAACTTTTGAAAAATAATATATATGATGTGTGTGTTGTGTGCAGTTACTTTGATAGAGCGAAACAAGATACATGTCTAGTGTCATCAGTATTTGTTCCGCAGCTGCTCCTCTTTAAAATAAACTGTATCAGATGTATGTAAAGTGACCCATATTTGTTTTTATTTTGACCACTGAAAATGTGTACAATATAATTTACTCTTGGAGCCATATTGAAAACCTAATATCCCTGTAATTGATGTAGGATATCAGACCGAATCAGACGATCTATGATTTGGTTAAAACATGGTTGAAACCTGAGGAGCCCAGAATTCCACAGGGGCCCAAGACAACAGGATGTTCATAAATCAGATCCTCGCTTCTTTAGCTTTTGAGCGTGCTCTGGCTTACATGCCATCTCCTCCAAAACCAGGAGGAGAAACGCCACCTAGTCTCATCAAAATTTTACATCTATTTTGATCAGCCGTAAAACAGTGATTCTGTCCAAATTCCCTTACATATTATTGGTGGAGTTCCCTTTAAAATCTTAAATGATTCCCTTTGAGCTAAATTGACCTGTTTCCCTTACATTTAACCATATATCAAACCTTTAAAATAGGAATGCCAAAAGCAAAGTTTGTTAAAAATCTAAATCTAAAAGACTAATAAAAGATCTTTATAACTTCTAGAGTTACGGTCATGGGCAGGTCGACTGAAGAAAAAAAAAAAAAATGAAAAAAATGCTTTTTCCAATTTTAGAACTGTCACAAGCAGAGTCGAACTTAATTAACAGGAATTTAAAACAAAACACTGTAAAACAGAAACAGAACAACCATAGCTGCGTCCCAAATGACGCACTATACACTATGCCATCATACACTATGTTCTCAACCATGTAGTGTATGAATTATATAAGGTTATTTTGCCATTCATAATCGGAGTCTCATAGCCCCTCCCCCTTCACTACGTAATTAATGATGCGACAGTTGAGTGCATGAAGTGTCCAATATTCCACACTTCGTTTTTTCGGTTATTTATTTAAGTGCATCATCCGGGTATTTACAGTGAACTTTTTCTTTTTGGAATTTTTAGTGTGAACGCACTACTCAAACTATTTATACTACAAAACGTCATAGAATAGTGCATATGTACGCGATTTGGGACGCACCTCATGAATTTTGGACAGGACATGAGTGACTTAATGAAATAATGAGTAACCATGGCAACTTATAAACACAGAAAATGGAATCTGATCTAGATGCAGTACAAAATAACAGGATAAAGGGGCGGTCACACTAGACTTTGAACGTGCACATTTTTTTCGGTTGCTGCTGCGAATATGGGCGGGAGCAGGATATGACATCACTCGCCAAGGTTTCCCCTCAGTTTTTTTTTTTTTTATTGAAGATATAGGTTTTCCCTCAGTTATCACAACATGGATTCAGATGTGCTTGTACTGTGTCTTTTGCGACGGCGTCGAAAGCGTCTGGAAAGGAGAAGGCTGTGGTTTCACCCTATTCTACATTCGGTTTGACGCATTCGCATGCGTATGAATGGAAGTCAATAGAACGAAAAGTACAGTGTGACCGCCCCTTAACTCAAACAATGAACCACAGAGACAAACCAACTCAAAGTACTGCAGAAAAACAAGACATAACCCTGACCCTGAGCAAGTAGAGAGGGCGGATGGGCCCTATATATAAAATACTTCAGTCATCAGCCCTGTTATTACTGAACTACATCTCCCAGCATCCCTCCTGGTTCCCACCTGCACTCAGTCAGCCATCACCACACCTGCCATTGATCATCACCTCATCTAGACACACATATAAGCATGCACCTTGCCTATCCTCATTGAGTATGTTTACATGGACAACAATAATCTGATTTTAACACGATTAAGGCAATACTCCGATTAAGAATCTACCATGTAAACAGAGATTTTTGATTACCTTAATCCGGCTGAAGTCAAAGTCAAGTCACCTTCCCACTTTAGGGGAAGTCGTGGCCTAATGGTTAGAGAGTCGGACTCGTAACCCAAATATTGTGGGTTCGAGTCTCGTACCGTCAGGGATTGTGGGTACAGCGCTCTCTCCCACCTTCAATACCACGACTGAGATTCCCTTGAGCACGGCACCAAACCCCCAACTGCTCCCCGGGCGCCGCAGCAAAAATGGCTGCCCACTGCTCCGGGTGTGTGTGTGTTCACTGCTGTGTGTGTGCACTTAGGATGGGATAAATGCAGAGCACTAATTCCTAGTATGGGTCACCATACTTGGCCACATGTCACGTCACTTTTTTTCACTTTCACTTTCGGTCAGCCAGCACTTCATCTGCCGGGCCTCCAAAGGTTGGAACTCAGTTCTGCAGGAAGGAAGCTGTCCAGGAGCAGGGTTAACGATTCCAGTTCTAAGTATATGGTTTATATATAAAAATGATTAGTATCCCATGAAAATATAGCCAAAAGATCTTTCCTGCATCAACCATTACAGGTAGTAACAAAACACATTATATTCCTTTATTCTACTCAAATAAATGCATTAATAATTTTATAAGATTAAATATAAATAGACCAGATTTCTTCCAGAATACTGGTACCATACCAATACCATCTACTTTATTCATGCATGGGCACAATCATGTCTGCTATTTTCCTAATCCGTGCTGTTGAGAGTGACAAGCTGGTTTGACCTGGATATAAGCTAGTTTAATCACCACATTAGGGTTTTGTAACAGAATTTCAAATGCTTCTCACTATGTCTTGCAGCACTGTTTAGTAATGGTATTGCATGGTCGAAACCAGGTAGCATTATTTAGTATTATTTTGTTTTGGGAGTGTTTGAAGTTTACCTTTCATAATGAAAAATGGAGTTAAAAAAAAAAACGAAAGGGGCATTTCAGGGCCACCCACACAGGTGAATAAACATTTCAATAAACAAAAATATATATAAAAAAAAAAATCTTGTTTAATTTTCTCTTTTCATTTTTTTTTAAACAAAATGAAAAACAAAATAAAATCAGTCAACATTTTCTCAATCAAAATTTTTTATTTGAACATGGGCCATCTTGAAACGCCCCTTTCCGGGTCAAACCGTGCCATCATGGGTACTTCCTCAGTTCCATGCAGCAGAATAATAGTCATCTGCTGCTGTAGTTGTACAGATTCTAAAGCTGCAACTACATTTTACCTATTTCTTATCAAACAACTGAAATAATGAATGGCTTAACACAAACTATACTGAGGCAGCAGCTAGACAGGGCTTTTTTTTCTGTGCAAGCATTGAACTGGAAACCTATGCATGCTGGGGAAAAAATAATTTATCCTGCCTTTACAGCTACCCCTTAGCCTGCATCTGTTTAGCAAAGCTGCACATAGCTCTAGACAACGCAGAGCAAATGCATCTACATTGTATTGAAATGCAGGACAGTATCAAGTATCAGAATCAAGTACTAAGTGTAAATACAAAGCAGTAATAACTTGTATTGTAGGCAATACAAAGTTTTGAATAAGGAATCAAGTTAAAATTATGTTATAGACAGGGATTAAACAGGATTTGTTATGTGGAGGGGCGGGGTTGGCTCTGTTGGTTTCAGGCTTTTGAGGGGTGCACATGTGTATGCAAAGCCTCCAAAATCTTATATCAGCTGACAAACTGTAAAATATAACAAGTTGAGAGAGCCTGTTATGAACACTAAAATGCTGATCAAAATAATTCTAGATGCTGGCAGTGTGCATAGCTACACCTGTCTGCAGGATTTAAAAAAAAAAAAAAATTTAAGACTTTTCAAGACCTACAAAAAATAATTAAAAAATAAAAATTAATATCATGTGAGCAGGTGTCACGCCCCTGGACTGTCTGTGTGTGTTTTTCTCCCCATGTGCTCTGCGTGACCTAGTTTCTGTCTCCCCTCTGTCAAACCCTCTGTCTCCCTCATCTCACATCTTCAGTTCACAGCGGATGAGCTGAATTGTGTGTGTTAGACGAGGGAGACAGTCTAAATGTGTAGTAGTGAGGGGCCTCTAGGACAGGTTTGTGAAGAACAGATCTAACTTATTTTCTTTCTGTTGTCCCCCATGCAGGAACCAACAGATTTGCCTATTGCTGTACCTAGACAAAGGTAGCTGGCTGTGCTTTCAAAGCAGAAGTTGTGATCATCTGATGAAGCTTTGTGAAACTGTGCAGAGATGATGGGAAAGGCGGATCATGAAGAACCGAGTGTTGGGAATTAACTGAAGACAGAAGTACAGTTTCCTCCGCTAGTGCCATCATGGCCAGTCTTGTTCTTAACGAGACTGGGATGGAGAACTGTGGCATTGATGACTCCTTCAAGTACAACCTGTATGGTGTGGTGTACAGTGTTGCATTTGTTCTGGGACTGGTCACCAACTGTGCTTCACTGTTTGTCTTCTGCTGTCGCATTAAAATGCGTAACGAGACCACGCTTTTCATGACCAATCTAGCTTTATCAGACTTAGTGTTTGTGTTTACTCTTCCTTTCAAGATCTTTTATAACGTGAATCGCCACTGGCCATTCGGTGATACGTTGTGTAAGATCTCTGGAGGAGCCTTCATCACCAATATCTATGGCAGTATGCTGTTCCTGACATGCATCAGTGTGGATCGCTTCCTGGCTATCGTTTACCCCTTCCGTTCACTCTCCATCCGCAACCGTCGCAATGCTGGTGTCGTGTGCGGTATCATCTGGCTGTTGATACTCGGTGGGGGCATGTCAGTCACATTCTTCTCTTCCACCAACCAGTCCAAAACTAGCACCACCTGCTTCGAGGGATTCTCCAAGAAAACATGGAAGACGTATTTGTCAAAGATCACCATCTTCATTGAAGTGGTGGGTTTCCTCATCCCATTGATGATCAATCTAGCCTGCTCTTCCATGGTGCTAAGGACTTTACGTAGACCTGCTACTCTGTGTCAGACTGGCACCAACAAAGAGCGTGTTCTGCGCATGATTGTAGTGCATTTGGCCATTTTTATTGTCTGCTTTGTACCTTACAATTCTGTTCTGTTTATCTATGCCATGGTGCGCATTAAAGCACTCGTGAGCTGCTGGGTGGAGAGGCTTGCACGAATCCTGTATCCCATAACACTTTGCATTGCTACCTTCAACTGCTGCTTTGACCCGGTAGTCTACTACTTTACCTCTGAGTCCTTTCAGAAATCACTGACTACTGGGAAGTGTCAGGCCATGCAGGAAAACATGCTGCAGAGTGAAGGCCCTGTATCTAGCAAGGAGAATCCTGACACACACACAGCTGAGCTCCACATACTGACCAGCAATGGAAAAGATCAAGCCAGTGAGACCCAGTTCTGAAAGGAATACATAGTTCCAGGACTACAGTCAGAAGGATATCGATGAGATTCTAGTCTCAGGATGTAGCGTTAAATACAATGACTGGAATTTGGACTCAGTGACACACATGCATGGAACATCTGTGTCTCTTCTATGATTCTTTTCTGTCCATTAGTTTGTGTTGACTACTTTTAGGTTTACTAAAGGCAGTTAGTGTTTACACAGCAGTCACTCATCATCACTGCATTTTATCAATGATTATTACCATACCATTTGTATCTGTTATTGTATTGTATTTTTACCCAGTCAAAGCACCTTTTGAACGTATCTCTCTCTCTCTCTCTCAAAAATTTATGTTAATATGACTTGTGTGAATCTGGAATGCATGTGTACAGTTCACTTTCCGAATCTAAAAAGTTTGGTTTTCTTTTTACTGAAAACAGTAACGGTGGCATTATGCAAATATTTCCACATAGTGAGGTAGATATGTGGGGGCGTGTTAGAACGAGACGTTTTAGGGGGGCGTGGCAGAGTCTTAACTTTGATAAAGAATATCTCTTTGGTTTTGAGACTTTAGTCTTTGCAACTTCAGTGATCTTATCTATGCACAATCAGCTTGTAACACTCCAAAGAGAAAGAAAAACTTGAAATCGCATCATATGACCCCTTTAAATGATAAATCTTAATTATACACTTACTTAATTATACATACTTAATACTATAGGCACACAGGCACAATTAGAACAGAGTTCCAAGCTCTTCCAAGCTTTATAATGGCATATTATAATAGAACAGAGTTGTTGGTTCAAGCTACAGAAGATGAGATTGATTAGCTGCAAAACTGATGAGATACTTTGAAAACTGGTGAGGTCCTTGAGCAAGACACGCTAAGAACAGAAGCATACTTCTATATGCAGATATGCACCAGCAGATGCGAAAGCACGCCCCAAGCATCCAATCTTCTGTTACTGCGGCTGTAAAAAGCCTCAGTCGCCCTGGATTTCTAAAAATGTCCAAACTAGTCGTGTTACTATTCAGGGTAACACTTTATTTTAAGGTGGTCTTGTCACAGTGTAATTTACATACATTTAAATACTATAGTTTATAAATAATTAAGTACTGAGTAATATTAATTAACTACCCGTACATGTACTTACTATTTTTGGATTAGGGTTTGGTTTAGGGTTACTTGCATGTAATTATGCATAATTTATTGTTATGATAATAGTAAGTACATGTAACGTGTAACAAGGACACCTTAAAATAAAGTGTTACCCTATTCAGGTATGAACTAATTTGCCCGCAAGATTCTCTTTAAACTGCTGCTACGCTACTGACTGTAGCAGAAGACTGTTTACATTAATGTCCACTGTGGCACCCCTTGAGTAATAATTTTTTAAGTCATGTGAGCAAAATGTTGTATTCTGCATGAACTCTGTGGAATTTTGTGTAAATAAAGAGTAGGACATTGCAGTAATGGTTGTCCAGTCATTTTTATTTGTATAATGCTTTACACAATCTGTGATATTTCAAAGCTGATTTACATAAATGTGCCTAAACATGTTGAAGCCCACAATTAGCAAGCCACTACTGCATGACCATATTTCAGATCCCTTAATCCTACCCCATACCTAAACTTAACAACTATTAATAAGTAACAAATTAGGAGTTTATTGAGGCAAAAGATGCAGTTAATAGTTAGTTAATAGTGAGAATTGGTCCCCAAACTAAAGTGTGACCTAGAAATTTCTGAAAATGTACATTTAGCAACAGCATACTTTTTTAATAATAGCAGTAAGATTCTGTTTTGTATTGTGCATTATATTTAAATCGGGCATGTTATAACAGCAACATGGTGGGTATTCCAGAACATACCTAGTGAGATAGAGTAACATATACAAACATTAACATGTAAATACAATTAATGAGTTCTTTGAAGTATTTATGCTCAGTGTAGTATTATAATATCGTTTGAAACATGGATTTTTTTTTTTTTTACAAAAATGCATCAGTTCACTACAGGAGGCCTTTATCCACCCCCCGGAGCCATGTGAGGCATGTTTTATTATGGATGGATGCGCTTTATTTGACTACTTTGGACTGTTGAACAAAATCCCCCGCCCATGCCATTATAAATCTTGGAAGAGCAAGGACTGTTTTTAATGTAACTCCGACTGGATTCGTCTGAAAGAAGAAAGTCATATACACCTAGGATGCCTCGAGGGTGAGTAAAACATGAGCTTTTCATTTTCATTTTTTGGGTGAATTCCCAGAACACATTTGACTATGGTAACTTTATTTTCACAGATTGTACAAGAGAATCTCCTATGATTCTGGCACATCTCCCATCCAGCCTGCTGCGGCTTCTTCATCTCATTCATCTCTGAGAGCATCTGCATGCGTTTATAACTCTGCTGTCTATCATCTTACACTTCTCACACACAGAATTTTTACTCTGTTATTGCAAAAGTTATTACTTTGAGCATATATTATTTTGAACATTTTGTCTCATAATTAAATAAACAGCTGAAAAACAAACAGCTGGACATTACTTCTATTATTTATTTAGTGACTATATTTATTCTCAGCTTTGTGCAGAGGCAACATGAGTTTTGTTTATCTACAGTGACTTGCACAATAGCATGTGGGATATCAGAAACTGGGTCTTATGTGAAGACTGGGGAAATCCTCTGGTCTTGCATTTACTTGACCAAATGCTTATAATTACTTCAGCAATGGGTCCATTGTCTCAGACTCAAAAAGGCTTGTGTCCAGGTCTCGAGAGCTGCCTTAATACTCTTAAATATGTTGTTACAGGCGCACTTTGGCACATAACTTTCATTGGATTAGAGGAAAAGGGCTCTGAATCATTCTGAAGGGGTTTTTATTTTCGCTGTATTTTTACTTGCCTTTTTTCTGTCTTTTTAATGTTTCATTTTTAAACAATACACACATGAATTGCTCACAATTAAAAAAAATTGAAATCTGAAAATTACTGATCCTGTGTGTTAAAGTGATAATTCACCCAAACATGATAGTGTACTGTTAATTTACTCACCCTTGCTTCACTACAACTGTAAAGAAGATTTTTAGCTGAAACCATGGGCCTTCATACAATGCAAGTCAATGGCTACGAGGTCAGATATCTGCAGTGTACAAACATTTTGTGAAGAAATAGAATCATTTCGTGGAGGATCAATCCTACATACGGCATGTTTAAAATCCCAGACTCACACAGTAAGCATAGCACTCATTTGGGACTGCTTCATTTGGTTAAGCAGACAATACATCACTCCAGTCAAGTTATATACATTTATTCCATATATTTCTGATGTATTTCAAGTCAAGTCACCTTTTTTTCTATGGTGCTTTATACAGTTCAGATTGTGTCGAAGCAGCTTCACAGAGATAAACAAGAAAACAGCAGAATTAATTATGGAAACTCAACTATGAAGACGATTCATATTCAGTATGTTGTAAATGTAAAGAAGAGTCTTTATTCCACTGTATGTGGGATTGTACAAGAGTGATTTTTTTTTTCTGGGCCAAAGTACATATAAGTCAAATCTTTAGTCATTAGTAAAGAAATACTTCTCGATCCCTAGCTATGTATCTTATATATATATTTATCCTCTAAATTTTAGAATCACCAAATACAGTATGTAAGAATGAATTAAATGGACGACCTCATGTCTTGCTTCATAAAAGATTGTTTTACTGAATCAGTTTTACATGTATTTATTTATTTTTTTTATCTTAATTCATTTAAAATATAATTTTTTTCTCTTTTCCATAAGAACCCTGAAGTATTGATGCAGACCATTTGTTAATGTTTTACTAGGGTCCAGACAGCTAGAGCTGGATGAGGCCCTTGTCCAGACGGTTGTGAAGGACACTTTTTCTGTGGTTGAGGAGGAAGGCTTCAGGGCTTTTGTTAGCCTGCTGGACCCTACATCCTCCGCAGTAGGAAAGCTCTGAAGGCTATGGTAGCCAAGAAGCACATAGAGCTGAAGGAGAAAGCCCAGGCCGAGGTGCAGAAGGCTGCAGCAGTGAGCCTGACATACGACATGTGGACATCAATTAACACTGATGCACACCTGGCAGTAACACGCCACTATGTGACCTCAGAGCGGAAGCTCTCATCCGTTCTTCTGTTCCCCAACACCCAGCTCACATCGCAGAGGCAAACGCCACTCTCATGGGGAAAGGTGTATCTCTGGAAAAGTGAGCTGCATGGTCACTGATGGTGCAGCAAACATGCAGGCTTGTGTTGAGACTTTATAAATCCACCATCCACACTGCTTTGCCCATGGTCTCAACTCGGTGGTCAAGCAGGCCACTGATCCAACCCCTGAGTTACAGGAGCTCCGTACCCGAAGGCGCAAGATCATGGGTCACTTCAGATCCAGCATCACAGCCACGGACAAGCTGTCACAGTTCCAGCACCAGATGGGTAGGTCTCAACAGAAGCTCATTTAGTGGAAACAAGATGGATCAGCACCTTCACAATGCTTCAGCGGCCGTATGACACTCTAAAATCCGAGCTGTCACCATTCACAGCTGAGGAGTATGATTCTATGAATCAGTGCCTTGGGATTCTTGGCCCTTTCCACCAAGCCACAGTGGACATGTCAGAGGAGCAATGGGTGTCAGCATCCAAGTTTATCCCAGTGATCGGAATGCTGAAAATATCCATTCGAGAGGTGAGTACCCAAATGACATCAGATATGTTTTCCCAACTGGCTGCAAATCTGATTAAACACACGAATAAGAGGTTTGCCACTGCCTTGCTCTGGCAACACTTTCAGACTCACATTTTAAAACAGTTGTTTTTAATATTGACATCTGTGCCCAGACTGCAGTGAAAAATCTAATTTCACAATGTGCAGCAATCATCAAGGCTTCTGCACCTGAGAGGCAACCACAAACACCAGCACAAGCTCATCATCAAGCACTGTGGTGGTTGATCTATGGAAAGCCCTGGATATTTGAGTGTTGAGCGCACCGACAGTGCCACTGCACAAGTACCTTGTGGACCCCATACTGGCACGTTGTGTTAAAGGGGTCATATGACGCTGCTAAAAATAACATTATTTTGTGTATTTAGTGTAATGAAATGTGTTTATGCGGTTTAAGGTTAAAAAAACACATTATTTTCCACATAGCTGTTTTACTTTCATATTGTTGCTGTATTGTACTTTATATATTTAAAACATTATGATAGTGTTATGCAATTATATATGTAGCTTGTTGCATATGTTGCATAGTGTTTATGTAAATAAACACAATATGCAAATAAATCATTGTGAATATCAAATCCACCTGGCCTCTGTAACTGTCTACTCTGTAGCACTATCGTTTTCAATGCAAAAATATTACATTAATTCAAAATTAATTTACCGATTTACTCATTTAACGTTAATGGATCATTGGCCAGGCGTACAGCAGTGACAGACAGACACATATAACGGTGTCCTGTATGGAAAGATGTTTTCCAGCGGACAGTTATCCATTTTCACCTGTACAAGTGAACACTGAGCACCGGCAGTAATGAGACGCGTTGGAGTGACGTCACCGCCCCTCTTCATCTGATTGGCTAGAGGACGAGCTGTCAATCTAGAACTAGTGGACCAATGATGACGCTTTATTTGATTATGATGCTTAAGCCCTCCCTGATTTTCATGAAACTCTAACCGCAACATTTGGAAGAAGAAGCGCAGAACGTGGAAACAAGAGCGAAGGGAAAAACAGCATAAGCATACAAAAAATAAAAATATGAGCAGAAAATGTCTGAGAGCAGAAAAAACAGAAATATAACTGAGGAAAACATGATTTTGACAATTTCAATTTTGTGCAATATGATTTTAAACGTGTATAAAGTTTTGATTCATGCTTATTATTTTTTAAAAATGCGTTATTAATTTTTTCAATCCATGACCATTGTTTGCTATTCTGAAAACTTTGCTTTCATTTTTAAATATTGTGCAATATATTTTTACTTGTGTTTTAAAATTTTGTTTTCACACTTGTTATTTTTTTATCTGTGACTGCAATACATTTGGTGGGATTCTGATCCCATAACAGACTTCCAAAGCTGTTTGATCACATGCTTCTTCAAACTGTAAATCCTCTGTTCCGCTTTGATTGGTTAGAGATGGAGGAAAACAAGTCTGACCACCAGATGTCACTAATGCGCATTGTGTTCAAAGATTTCAGTGATGAACCGCTTGTTTTTTCTTTTTTTGTTTGCTTAACGAAAACATACCAGGTTGGTTTTTTTTTTATGATGTTCTTGAAATGTGTTATTTTGGTTACATTCTTTTTCAACTTTAGATATGACTTCTAAAATGTTTTAAAAACAATGTACTGCAACATTATCTAATTACAAACTAATTTAACATTGTGAAAAGTTGTAAAAATGTTTGTGTTTGCTAGGTTCAGCTTCTCGTCAGATTTTCTGTCCAATCAAATGCTCTCCAGAATCTGAAACATCCTGCCCCCTTCACACATTCACACATTCACACATTCACTATGTTATATATGGACTGATGGCCATACATTTTTAGGCTAACAGGGGTTTAGTGTTGCCATGGTAACACATGAAACCCGTAATCAAAATAGATCCTATTTACTTCATTAGCGCACATTACTAGACTTGAATAATTAATCTGAATTATTAATGAATAATTAATCTGTGGTGAAAAGTTGATACACAGAAAAAAATCTTTAGTCAAAATCTGAAAGTTAGCTTCTTCTGTAGAATGCCAGTCCTTCAGTTTGAGGGCTTGGCAGAACATGAACCGCTCTCCTCCGACTGTAAACATGCTGCGAGCTGGAGATGATGAGGAAGTGTGATAAGATCAAGCCCTGCCCTCTGTGTTTTCTAATACAGTATTGAGGCATATGTCTAAGTGAAACGGAGTATTGAAGTCACTCGTAACTTCCAGTTCACACTAACTTTAATTCTCATCACCTTTAGTTCATACATTTCAGCAATATTACTTCAAGTCAGTCCCCACTAAACTTTTTAACTGTTACTCAACCTACACCTGGGATTGCTGTACCAATAAATAATGGAAAAAGTTAGGAAAGATTCAATAAAATATCTACATATAACATTTTAATAAAATAGGCATTTATATTAAAACCACAAGGTTTCTTAATAAAAGAGAAAAAAATAACAAATAACATCAGTGTTTGGCTCAAAGTTTCATTAATCATCGAGTACGTCCCTAAATGTGTGTATAGCTTGACCAGCTTTACCGGTTTTTCCTTTATGACAGCCGGCTACAGGTGGATTCTCCTCACTGGAGTCAATAGACGTCTGTTTGTGGTTTGTGGTACATAACATGTGGTCAGTTTTACCATGGTAAGGGATTAAATTAATGATATCAGTGTAATATTCACGTTTAGCACTGATAGTGACTTTCATTTACAGTGTTTTCCCAAAGCCTCGGCCCAAATCTGCCGTTCTCAGCCTCACACTAAATACACTTCTCTACATTAAACACAGAATTCTATCATGCTGGCACTTCTTTGCCATTTCAAGGCACTGCTTTCCAAAAAGAGTTAGAGGTAGACCTGGAGGACCACATGGACAAAGAAGAACAGGGCCATGTTTGTCAAATGTGAATCGAGCAACCTTGCTGACCATGTTTAAACACTGAGAGAGGCCCGGCCTCAGCAGATATACTGTTGCTGCAGTCATTTGGACAAGAGCACAGGTGAAAAAACCCTTTACTCTACTGTCTACATTACAATGTAACCTAGAAGAGCTACGAGTATTATTTGCACCGCTCTCACTGTATTCCATGTTTGAAATTATGGTTATGCTATTGTAAACTAGCAATATTTTAAAACATGAAACATGTATATCATAAATGATTGTTAAATATAAGAAACATATATTTCCATATGTTTGCATATACTGCATGTTCAATATATTTTTACACATGCAGTACCATATCTTATCACATGTACATCTACATATTATAAAGTGTATTACTGAATATAAAATTACATATATTCTGATATATAAGTAAATATATTGTCACAAATATTTCAATATATGAAAGCAGCAATTCCTTATGTATTATTGAGTATATTGTAATATATTTACACATTATTCTATATAATTATAATAAAATATAACATTCTGTTATGTCAGTTACTATATTGATCATTCATCTATTAGGAAATATATTTATAAGGGTCAACACTGGATTGAATCCTTGAAAAAAAAAAAAAAAATTACATGTAGATGAAACAACTGCCATTTGAAACAAATTCGTTCCGGAAGAACGTGATCGCAGGTCCAAACCCTTGAAACCTTCAAGACTTTCATCCGAGACTGCATCCAGACACTCGTTCCAGGCCAAGGCAATGCAAGTATCGTACATTTAACTAAACGAAACAGAGGTTTAGTATAAGCTGTAGACCCCGTTATAAACAGCGCTGATAAAGGTTAACTGACTCTTTTCATAGCTTCATTCTCTGTTTCTCTAATGGCTTCATTCATCCAGTCTCACTTGTCCTTCCCCCACGAATCTGTTTGTTTAGATTAGTTAGTGTGTTAGTGCTTAGTTAATTAAACTTTTGGTGCACAAATTACATGACTTTCTGATTCTGGTTCTGATTCTAGCTGCATGCTCTAATTCATTAATACTGTAAGAAAGTTATATTCTGTGGCCACTAAAATATCCTTTCCTAGAGTTAATATGAACTTACACTCAATGTTTGCTGGACGAACAGATTAGTTGATGACAATATTAATTCTGCTACAGTTACTACTGGCAGCTGATATAAACAATTGTAATTAATTATAATTAATTGTAATTATTTATATACATTTCCATTTTGAGCTAATTTGCTACACTGCCTTAAACAATAACTTCATAATTCTGATCTCAGGCTCCTCATCTAATAACCATCCATTCTATTAGTAATGTTGTTTGCTGATAGATCTTATTGGTCTCTATGTGAACTCACTAGTTTGTAGACATCTGTTGAAAAATGAAACAATTGGGTGAGTGTTAGGGAATTAAAATAAATTGCTAAGTAAGTCAGATTGTGTAAAACAAAATTAAAATAAATACGAGGTGCCATTTTTTCCACTTCAGCCCCTGTCTGTGCATGTCTCTGTCCACAGATGTGTTTGTTTATATTCTGCATCATATTTAGAATATGTTCTAATTTTCAGTGCAAAGTGCAACCTTTGTGAATGCATTGACTGATTTTACAATGTGGAGAAAAACAAATATTCAATGTACAATACTGGTGTTGTGATTAGTCAACATATTCACATACTTCACTCTTACAACATCAGTGAAACAATCAAACTCAAGACTATATCACAGAAAAAGGAGAAATGTTCCAAGTGTTTAAGATTGAGCACAGCAGTGTGTGAGTGCTTCAGACAGAATCAGATTGTATGAGCTTTTTAATGGTTCACTGAAGCAAAGATGAGTGCTTTAAGTTTATGTAGTAGGTGTTATGAGGCCAAAGGAAATATAGCTGTTAGGAACTCTTTATAGTCTTGCTTCTACACAAGATTTTGACTTCAGATTTTTCTCTCTATGCTTTTTCTATGCTTATGCTTTTTGGTTTGGTGATGACAACAAACTTGTTTTGACCAAGATGTACAATATAGTACATATATATATATACAGTATATAACACTTATACCTTAATCGCATCTTCTTTCATTTGGGTAACAGTGTCTGCCAAATTTGCAACCATTAATGTAATTAAATTAGTGACAACAAAAACTGTTACCATTCGTTGTTTGTCTACAGTTGTAACTAAGTGACTGCTATCAAAACCATCAAACATCCCCTGAATCAGAGATATGAAACACTTTTGCTTTCCTGAGGCGTCACGGGTTGTTTATGCCACTGGTGTAGCAGAAGAATAACATGAGAAATGATGGGCACGTCACATTCAGATAACTTCCTCCTGCTGCAGCAGCTTGCATGATGAGAATGCTGGACTGGAAAGCACCAAGTATCGTACATGCAGACTTCAGCTCAGTCCAACAGGTAGGACCAGCCGCATCGCACAGCTACGAGAGTTCATTCTTCCTTTCTGGCGCACTTGAGACATGCCTGGATTGAGCAAACAAATGAGACCGTGCATTACTTTTTCATCTTACATGGGAAATACAGGTACAAATATAAATGTGTTTTTGTTGTTGTTGTTGTCCTTGTATTTGATGAATTGCATTTCACAAAGTTTTATTAGAGGTTAAAAAGCTTCAGAACCATGTCTTTTCAAAGTCAAATGATCATCGTATCGTGTCTACCTTATGTGGTGGAAGAAGAAACTAAATACATTGTCTCCTGGAGCCACAGAATGATTGAAGGAAAACTGTTTAAACTAAACAGAATATCTTAGAGGCAGAGTTTGCAGTACATTTCTGAGTCACATGAGTCACAGCAAAAATGAATTTGAATATTTGCATACTTGTGAAACCAGAGTTCCTCTATTTGTTCAACATGTGCTTGCAGTTACAGCACGCCCAGCTTTACATGAGATACTGAATCTAAAGGCCAAAATGTTATAAAAATGTTCAAATCACTATCAAATCCAAATGCTAGGCTAGCAGATCCATTCAATGGGGAAATACGTTCAAAATACAAGACAAGAGCGCACAAAGGTTTGGGGGAGAAAACTATGCAAACCCACAACCGTCACGCAAACACTTCCTTCACGCTTACACAGGAAGAGAGTTAACAAATGACAAACCTGTGTCGGTCCACAGCTGAATAGAAGTTTTCACATATAAGCTATATCAATTCAAATAAATGTCATTTATACATATAAAGTAAATGTTTTTTTTTTTTATAAAAATGTTTGCCCCTTTTCTTGAGAATGAGTGACAGTTGCTTCAATATTTTTATTATCCAATGCAATAAAAAACATTAACGAGTCCCTGAATGATCTAAATACTTTCTGAGGCAATTGCATCTATATGAAAATACCACAACTGCAGCAATTACTCAGCATAGATTTTAAAGTTGTTTTCATTTCCTTCCACAGTGATTCTCTACAGTCTACAGTAAATGAAATCGCAGTTTCACCATGACTTCTGTGAACACGTCATGTGAAGCGGTGAACTGCTCCAGTCCCACTCACATGACTGGCTGGGAATCAACTATAAACCAGCTCTACACATACGTTTACCTGATTATATTCATCCCAGGCCTGCTGTGCAACACCCTGGCTCTTTGGGTGCTCTGTCGATTCATAAGGTCAGCATTTCACGGTTAATATAATGTCTAATGGTCATTATGAAATCTGTTGGAGAATTTGTATTATTATTATTATTATACATTGATTTTTATACTGGGAACAGCCCCTGTGCTGAAAAGACACTTTGTATACTGTGTGATCTTTAGGGCACTTGGCTCACAGCACTGTTCATTATGTTGGTTTACATTATCATTATTATCATTATTTTCTAGTCACTCTGTTCAGAGGTGGTGCATTTCGACAGACATAAAACATAAGTTGACAAGCCTGCTGTAACCGTTTGAATGCTGGTAACATAAAAAGTCACTGCGTCATTCCTGTTAAATCAGCAGTATGTTTAACAAAAGAGCTTAATTCAGTTCACTGTAATTGTTTTAGTACCGATCAACATTTCATGCCCCATCAGGAGCGTCTGGTTTTCTGAGATGTATTTCATGAGATGCAGGTTTCTTCTAATGCTACGGATTCTCTTCGATTCACAGCAAAAAGACCAAAGCCATCATCTTCATGATTAACCTGACTGTAGCTGACCTGGCTCACGTGCTGTCGCTGCCGCTTCGAATTCACTACTACATCACACAAGACTGGCCTTTCGGCAGCGGGTTATGCATGCTGTGTTTTTACCTGAAGTACCTTAACATGTACGCTAGCATTGTCTTTCTGGTGTGCATCAGCATCCAGCGCTGTGCTTTTCTCCTGCAGCCGTTCCGCGCCAAGCACTGGAAGTCTCGCTACGACGTCTGCATCAGCGCCGCGGTCTGGCTGGTGGTGGGGCTCTGCTGCTCGCCCTTCATTTTAATGAGGAGCAAATCAAATTCTGGAAATAACAGCACAACCTGCTTCAAAGACCTGCCCATGCGCAAGCTGGATGTACCCTCGGCCGTTTCCATGATGGTTGCTGCTGAACTCTTGGGATTTCTCGGTCCGTTAATTATCATCGGTTTCTGTACTTATTTAATCGTGAAATCCTTGCGACGGCGGAACCAAAAGCAGCAGTCCACGGGTAGCACAAGAAAGGCCTTGCGCATGGTTAGGGTGTGCACAGGGGTCTTCCTCTTCTGTTTCGCCCCCTACCACATCAACTTTCTGCTGTACCTGATGGTGACCCAGTGCATTATCACAAACTGTGCAGCGAGTCAGGCCATCCGACTCTTCCACCCCATCTCTCTCTGCATCGCAAGCCTGAACTGCTGCCTCAACCCTCTCATCTACTACTTCCTGACCACAGAGTTCAAGCAGCAGCTGTCCCAGCACGGCAGCTCTGTGCTCAGGGGCCGTCTCATGAGCACCGAGAGCACCTCTTCCTTTAGGGATTGATCAGGAACCGCCAACGTTTTTACCATTCAAGCCATTTACTTGACTTCAGTGTAAAAACATGGACATTTAGTGTGCAAATCGTGCCTTCAGACCGTGTACAAACTAAAGTCTATGCATTATGTGCTATACATTGCTTGAACAAAAAGATATAAGGCTTACAAACTGAAACGTTATGTCCAGCAAGTATTGTTTTGACCGAAATCACAGCCGTTCATGGCATGGGTGAAGTATTTGAAGTTGAACAATGATAGCCGTCAAAGACTAATTTAAATGGGAGAAAAATTAAACTTACGACTGACTGCATGACAGAAACATTTTTGTATAATGCAGACGCAGGATGAACTGATCGTGTCTCTCTCACCAGACCGATAGGAGTGAAAGTGCAAAACTCAACTGAGTTTGAGTTGAACTGACTGGGCCAACTAAACACCAGGGCCCATATTCACAAAACATTTTATCTTACCACTGAGAGTTCTCCTTAAACCTTAGGACTCCTCTTCATTACTCCTAACCTTTCACAGATTTAGGAACTAATTTTAGCACTAAAAACAAAAATTTAGGACTGACACGACCATTATTTTTAAGATTTCTCCTAAATCTGCGAGTTATGAGCTACTTTTAGCCTGAAGATGTTTTGTGAATACGGGCCCAGGTCTAGAACGGGATTAAACAGAAAAATAAATCATATTCATCAGTCTGTGGAGATCTGAGTCTGAGATGGGACAAACTTCCAAGAACAACATCACGCTGTTCATGTGAAATTGTTGTTTACATTTGCTTTTGTATTACAGTTTTTCTCGATTGCTTAAACACATTTCTTGAAACTATTACACACTGGTGCAATAAATTCAAAACAATATATCCAAAACTGGTAAGTTATGGTGCTTGTGGTTCTCCCCCTCAAAAACCTTTTCTCATGAACACAAAAGACACAACCAATGTATACATTGGCACATTTTTATTCATTCATGTAC